GGGAGGGGAAATGGAGTGATTGGGGCGGGGCTTTGGGGAAGGGCCAAGGTAGATCCTGCATTGCCCTTAAATTCAAAAAGTGCTCTTGGGCGTAAAAAGGTTGGAGACCACTGCACTATACCTATACATGTATTTATATAGCTTAACTTGCATTCATTCAGTTTCTTAATTTTTATGTTTTTTTTCATTATTTTGGGAAATGGTGAATGACATATTTCTGAGGGTTTTTTTTTTGTTTTGTTTTTTTAAGTGATTTGTGTCAAGCACTATTTGGATGGAAATTCAAATTAAATCAAAAGTGCATAAAAGACAGCATTTGATTTTTTTAAACTAAATAAAACTATGTTAAATGTGCTGGACACATGGAAAAAATTTTATCAAAACATGTTTTGCATTTAAAACAAAATGATTTATTAAACAGGGGAAGTATTATCTGTAGTTAGTGAACTGAACAGATTGTTTTGGGTCACAATGTCCTTCAAGATTTTAGAACTAGAAGATCTCATGTTCTCACACCTTGTTTTCATTCATAGATTGGACGAGGAAAACAAACTTTTCTGCTTTTTCAATTTCCAATTAGTTTAACTTTGAATGAACTAGTCACTGAACCACCTGAATAAACCAATATGCAAAAAAATATTCTCTGCACCTGCAGAAGAGGCTACTGCTGTCAAAAGCTGGTTTAGCACTTCAACAAACTCTAGTTCCAGGTGCTCAGCCAGTGACTTCCACCAGTTCAGTGGTTTGACTTTCTTAAACTTGTCAGCAAATACGTATTGCTTAATATTATTGTGTATTTTATTTAAATTATATTAATAGATTACAATAAGTTGAGACCCTAACATAGGTTGACATTTTTAAAAAACAGACCTGTATTTAATTTAAACCAAAAAAACCTTGTTTAAAAATCATTGTTTTTTATCCACTCCGGGAGCAGGAGGAGGAGCACTCCTCTTGCACGTGTGTTGCTCCAGGAGGAATTTGGTCTCCCCAAGGCAGAATTCAGCCAAAATCACTCCCTGGGGACCTGCACTGGGCTCCACTCAGGGTTGTATCAAACAGCACAACTACGCATCAGAACTGCAGTTTTTCCTCCTTCAACTCAATTTATATAATTATCATTGTATGGATTAATACAATTTATAGAATTTTTACTGAGACGATACTGCCAGCATATTACTATTACACAAGCAAAGCAAAACGAGGAAGGATGGTGCCCAGTGGTTACGGCGCTAACCTGGGACTTTGGAAACCCAGGTTCAAGTTCCATTCCCTGCTCCACCACAGACTTCCTGTGTGACCCTGGGAAAGTTACTTTGTCTTGTTGTGCTTCTGTTCCCATCTGTGAAATGGGGATAATAGCACTTCCCTACCTAATGGAGGTGTTGTGAGGAGAAACACATTAAAGATTATGAAGTGCTCAGATAGTGGGGGGCCATTAAAAAGTACCTAACAGATAGAAAGCAGAACACAACGGGGAATCAGAGAGTGTCGTAATATGTCCAGGGGGACATTTTCATCTCAATGCACAGATGTTTACACAAGAAGTGACTATATCACATATTCATATGTTCAGAGCAAGTGCACCTTTACCTGAAAACGTGCTGGAAAGTTAAAGAAGTTGGTTTAAAAAGCTGTACTGAGTTAAAAGGCTTTTGGGTTGTTTTTTTAAACATTTTTCATTTACATAGCAACCAAAGCGCTTGCATTGTGCTTTATATAGATGACTTGGTTCCTGCCAGGAGGAATTTCTGTCTAATTTAGACACAGGTAATACGAAGAAGTAAGATGTAAGGCTCAGGCGTGGGAGCAGCAGAGAAGCTTGATCTAGGGGTGCTGGCTTGAAGTGGTTTCCATTAGGTACAGGGTTCCCGTTTGGTTCAATGGCTCTCAGCACCCCCACTATATAAATTGTTCCAGCACCCCAGGGAGCAGACAGTGAAGGGAATCAGTGATAGAAGGAAGTGCGGTTTAAGGAGAGCTCTGATGGAAGAAAGGAAGGCTATTATAGGGATGCAGGAGGGGACCATGGAGCCATGGAAAATGACTCACAGTCAAGACAAAAGGAGAGTGGGTTTATACATTGCACTTCCAACATTCAGTAACTCACCTTGGATTTGAAGAGTCCATGACAGTAGTGCCAGATCTGGGTATTCTTGCCATTGTATGAAGAAACACACACTGAAGTAGCTCTTGCATCTGATAGGTTTCCAGTGACTGTCAAGTATTTATCCTGGGCTCGGTTCTTTATTCTGAAGTAAACTGCCGGCTGATAGTTAGAAAAGCACCATTATACTGTACATGTATAAGCAGGTGTGAGCAAAGCCTCCCACCAGCTCCCGCACAGCTAACATTCTTACAGCAGTTTTCCCCACTTTCTTTTCCATTCCAAAATGTCTTTTACATATTCAGTTTTAGACAGGTTGTTAAGTGGGTTTGGTGAATGAAAGAACATGCTATAAAAAATTGTTCAAGAGACAAGGTATGGGAGGTGGATGGTAACAAGCAACAATGGCTTCTAATGTATAGCCATTCATGTTACACTTTTTTGCTCATGAACACACACAAAAAAGCACTGAACTGGTATCACCACCGACTCAGCTCATTAAAAAAATTACAGGGGAAGTCTGCAAAGCTATTATTGAGAGGTTTTAGCTTAAGAAACAGTTCCTCCATGACATACCTCAGGGCCATTGAAACAGCACCAGTATAGTGCATTGTGAGATATAGGGATCTTTATTGAAAAAAGGAGGTTCAAAGCTGCTGACAAAATTCCTCCTGGGATTTTTTTTTAAAACTGAAATCTAAACATCATGCTCATTAAAATCCTGCCCTAAAAAGCCCACCCCAAAACATCTGCAAATATGTGCACAATTATGCCCCACCATTAAAGAGAATCTTCATTATAAAGTCATTAATCGAATAATTTTTGTCCATCCATTAAGTAGTAGTCATTTCTGACATGTTTCACTATCTTTTTGCTAGTTATTAAGTTGAAAACTTTGATTTTGCTCTGTTGCACATCACTGAGAAGGCAGAAGAATATAAGCAAACAAGCTGCAGATTGTTTTGCAATATTGTCCCACTCTCCTTTGGGACCAGATCATATCCCTACACCGAAGACACTGGCAGCTAGACAAATATGCATGCCCTTTAGCGATCCAAACAGCTTTACATGCATACATAAAAAACAGCATTTAAAAAAAAATAGCAGCATCTTGTAACATTCCTTGGAGCCTCTCTGATGGCAAGAGAATGGACATGGCAGATTTGCATGCCCAAATGCAAGTGACGTGAAAGGTAATGTGATGTTTCTGAAGTGAAAGGCTGTAACTTTAACAGACAGTAAGAGTCCGGATCAGCTGTCCTACAGCAGGTCTATGGAGCAAGCAAGCCCAGTGCCTAGGGCAAGGGTGGCCAAACTGGCTCGCAAGCCACACG